TTTTTTTTTTTTTTTTTTTTTTTTTACAGATAATGACATTTCTATTTATTATCTGGCACATACTTCTCAATATTAAAATGAGGACTCAGTGAAATCAATGGCAAAAATCTGTATTAGAACTGGGTTGATTTTTTCTCAGATGAACATCTAATTTCCCAAAAAGGCAATTTCAGACCAAAATGGGGGAGGATAAAATAAAAAAAACCTCAAACATTCTGACACTTTCATTTCAACACAATCTTTTGAGGCTAAAATCAGCAAATATAATTTTTAAAATGGTTCAATATGCACATATAAATGAAACTGCTTAATGTGATTTTAAATTTGGTTTTAAAATTATTTAAATTTGGTTTAAAATAATTTAAATTTGGTTTCACTTTTTGGTGAAAAAGATTTTTTTTTCCTTTGAGGTTAACCTTATTTCCCGCCTCCCAGTGATCAATGATTTACGTAGGACTATTCAAGATTTTTTCCCAAAACTTTTCTGTAGCTTCACAATGTTTGTCCTTCAAACATTGGTAAAGCTTGGTAAACTAGCCTGTAGCAAATTAACATTAAAGCTTTAGCCTCCATGTTGCTATAATGTGACTACTCCTAAAACACATACATGGATGTGGCATAAACCACTGAGGAAACCCAAGGGCTCCTCTAGATGTGCAGGAAGCCTCTTTGATGTGCTGGAAATTGAATAACTGAGTCTGCTGGAGCACAGAAATTACCACGCTCCACCAGACTCTAGCATCACGTGTATCAGCGTCCTTACACTGAAAAATGGTGGCAGGGCACTTTGATCATTTGATCAGCTTTAGTTCAAAGCGCCCCACCACCATTTTTCAGCCCGGAGACGCAGATACACATGATGCTCGGGTGCTTGTAATTAGCATGGCTTGCTAATTAAAGCACCCCCCCATGCCTCTTGGAGCACGTGTAAAAATGCCCCCAGATTCCAACTCTGTTGGAGAAATGAGGTAGTTTATTTGACAAATTAAAAGTGGCTTTGTTGGAGGGCAAAACAATTGCTGACAACAATTTAAAAAGAAATATAGAATTTAAAAGTAAAATACAAAACAAATTAACATGTTTTTAAAAAATCATAAAAGTGAAAAATGTACTTATATTTTTATGTTCCCAAAGTAGCCCCAACTATAGTGAAAATGCATGAGAACAGGACAATACAAATGATGGAAAACAGACTAGTCTCACATCACTTTCCTACTTTAGTTAAATTCCAGAAATAAATGAAGACTCCAAGCAAAGAAAGAAATTTAAGGCCAAAGTTTCCTGGAGCCACTACTCATTTCGGGTCCCCATATGAGATAAATTCAGAGAACCTGATTCCAAAGGTTGGTTACTCTGCAATCTCTGAAAATCAGAGCCTTTTAAAGGTATCTCAGCTAAGCACCCAAAATCAGTAGTCACGTTTCAAAGCTTATTCCAAGATTTTAAAAAAGTTTGAATAGTGTAAGTTATTATTTGTAAAATATATATCCTTATACATGTATATTACTAATGTAATGTATATATTAATGTGTATTATATATAATATACAGTATAAAATACAAATTTTACAAATAATTTATATTATCCAAACTTTTTTTTAAATCTTGGACAAAGATGTATATAGTGTGTGTGTGTGTGTGTGTGTGTGTGTGTGTGTGTAGAGTATATACTTGTGTAAAGATAGACCTTTTTGTGTATAAAGATACATATATACACATATATACACACACATGATTTTTAAGTTCATTACTACTTTATGATTTCAAAATATAACTACTATCATATCCAGCTAGTTCATGCAACTCAAACCAAATCCAAACAAAGCAGTTTTTTAAAAAATAGGATTTTAAAAGAGAATTTAAAAGCTATGAGGGTTGTGGTTTCAGTTCTAAATGAGTAGATATAATTATGGTGGAAAAGAGTATTTCTCCAGTTTCAGTTCCTTAAATTGAATCTCAAGCTGGAGTTATTTAGCCATTAGTCCTGTGCGTTCAGTTATTAACTTGGATCCTCAGCTATTGCTGCACTGAGAACAGCAGCATTTGGACCTCTCAAATCAGCATTATTCTTGTAATTATTCTACACAAAAAGATGAAAAATTCGAAATTCTGTTTGACCAAAAAGAGAAAGCAGGACTTGCAGAGCAAGTGAATGTGGAGGGGGAAGTGGTGGTAGAAAAAGGGTTAACTGATTTATTTAATGGTTTTACTTATTAAAAATGTGCATTAATATTGTATTGCAGCCTAGAAGAAAATACATGAAAAATAATGAAGATAAAAATAGCAAAGAAGTATTTTTGAGGGAACTACAGTTCTAATTTAATATCATTCAGCTGAAATGTAGCTTATTCCATTTTACTGGGCTGTTTTAGATTTGTATGTGGGGCCTGTAACAAGGGCAACTGCATGATGAATCACCTAGTACTGCACACACTAAACCTGCTGGATTCAGTAAGGATCCTTTTTTCTGCCTTGCTATGGTACTGCTATGGTTAAAAAGATAACTGCAGCCTACTACCAGGTTTACAAAACAGTTTGCTCTGTACACAAAAGGGTCTATTTCTCAGTGGGCAAGGGACTCGAGTCACAAGTATTATATCTGTGTAAGTTCCTTGTACATTGATATTAGGACAGATTTAAATAGGTACAAAGTCCTTGGAAATAAAATTACCAAAGTAATACAACAAGGTGGTTTGGTTTATTGTATGGAGCAAATGAAAAAGGAAGAAAAAAATGCTGTATTAAAATGCGTTGTTAGTGCATGGATTCATATCAAAGTTCAGCAGCAAAACTGCATCTCAATTTCATCATTACTGATGATTAACAAAGCAGCAAGATAAGCTTGAATGGGATTTCAGCCCATTCAGAAAATGTTTCTGGTTCAAGCAAAGGAAAAAAAAACAGGGCTTGGGAAGAGAAGACTAGGAGGGAGGCAGGATCTAATAGCAGCCTTCCACTACCTGAAGGGTGGTCCCGAAGAGGATGGAGCTAGACCACGGGTTTTCAATTAGGGGTATGGCACATCTCACCAGCACACTCACCAATTGGCCGTGGGGGTGAACCCCCCTCAGTGGCTGATTGGCCACTGGGAGGACCTTCCTCCCCCCCCCACGTTCATCGACTGGCTGCTGGGGCCCCTCCCCACCCACTTGCCGATCAGCCACTAGGGAAACCCCCACACTCATTGACTGGCCACCAAGGAACTCCTTCCTTCTTGATCAGCTGCTGGGGATACACTGACCCCAAAAGGTTGAAAACTACTGTGTTAAACTGCTCTCAGCGGTGGCAGACAACAGAACAAGGAGCAATGGTCTCAAGTTGCAGTGAGGGAAGTTTAGGTTAGATATTAGGAAGAACTTTCTCACTAGGAGGGTAGTAAAGCACTGGAACAGGTTACCCAGAGAGGTGGTGGACTCTCCATCCTGGGAGGTCTTTGAGACCTGGCTAGACAAAGCCTTGGCTGGGATGATCTAATTGGGGATGGTCCACACACACAATGAGCAGGGGGTTGGACTAGATGACCTGAGGTCCTTTCCAACCCTAATTATCTATGATTCTATGATATGTTTAATTAAGTCATAATTAAATTGCTTAATTAAATGCTTTCTTGAATCAGCCCTTAGCTTACAACACCTGGGCACACATCAACACTTCATGAAACATGGCAAACATTTAAGCTTCTCTTCCCCTCTGCACAATGACGCCTGAAAATCCTGGTTAAACTATTAAGGGAACGATAAACATAACAATGACGCTTCATTCTGCAAGCTGCTCAGGGATGTATAATAATCTGTTTTCATGAGAGGCTCTTTGATCAAGTTGAACCCCAGCCAGCACTTTATACGACACATTCAAACACCTAGGGCACGCATCACCACCGGGTGCTGTGGAATTTTACGTCAGCACATCTGCTGCCTAATTCTAAAATTCCCAATAACGGCTGTGCAGGGTAGCACAGAGGCTTTTCTTTACTGTGATTGCTGTTGCTATCATGTACAGCTTAACTAAATGAAGCAGTAAACAGAGGAAAGAGGTATCGTTAAAGATTCTTTCAGACTGCTTGAGATCTGGTGGCTTCCAGGTTGATTTCAAATACCACAATTTTAAATGTATATGAAATTGGTTTATACCATATCTTTCTCTCTTTTAGCCTGCATATGACCTGCCCTTACACACATTAAAATAAGCATTAGGCATCAAGTGAATAACTGAAGCTCTGCTTGCCCTGTTTTCTCCAGACATGGAGACTCTGCTAGGCCCTACTCCTATTAGCAAAAGAGAGAAAAGGTCCAGTTTGGGACTCTGTGGCCATATCTACATAAGCGGCTGACTACACAGTTGTTACTGTGCAGTCATTTAGTAGTTGCTTAACCAAGTAATCAGAGCCATCCGTAGGGGTGCGTGGGGCCCAGGACATATCAGCCTGTGTGCAGCCTGTGCGGGGGAAGGAAGCGGGGAGTGGCGAGTGGCCGGAGCATGAAGCTAGCGGCCCGCGGTGGCCGCGCGGAGTGGTGGCCCCCTGAGTGGGGCCTGTACAGCACTGTCTGCAGGGCCCCCCAAAGCATGGGGCCCGGGGCAGTCACCCCAATTTACCCCTCCCCCTGCAAGGGACGGCTCAGCCAAGTACTAAATGACTGGGCAGTAACCATCATTACTACACAGTCCCATCACCACATGGTTATTTTTAGCTGCTACTGAGCAGTAGTGTTGGCATCATGGTTCATGCCCAGCAAAGTTGCATCGCCATAGCAACAAGCTACGGTGCAGGAGCTCATTGCTATGGTGACAGTGTCTCGTAGAGAGGCACACTGTATGGAGACAAGATCCTCACTGACTTCAGGAGGAATTTTCAGTACGGAAAAGGTATAAGATGAAAAAGATGGATGCATGAAAGTGCAGAATGCATTATAATACAACTCTAAAAATCCAAGGTAAAAAAAAAAGTCTTTCTTCCTCACTTTCAGTTGTGCAAAGTTACAATAGATAAATCCACTAAATTCAGGTGTACTTGTGCTAGCCAGTGGTTGTTAAGAGTCATGTCATCAAAGCAGCAGAACCCTGTCCTCGCTGCAGGCTGTTTCCTCTCAGAGTCTGCGTTTTCCCATGCTGGATCTCAGCATTAACATGCCTTCTACAGAAGTTCCAGGATTGTCAATCATCTTTAGCCAAAGGTGCTGCTCTTCCCCTTGAGAATCCATCCAGTCAACTTCCTTGCCATTACTTAAGCCTGGTAATTGGAAAAAAATGGAGGATTTGGCATGTTAGCAAAGAGTGACTTAATGCTGCTGCTTATCAGTTCCAAAAACTAGGCGAGAACAACAATGGCTACTTCAAACTAATGTTCTGTCCAGGCGGTTATGCTATGAACAGCCCTGTCCTTTAACGCCCGCCCCCCAATGCATATTTCCTGTAGTTTTTCTCTCTCTTTTTCCCCACCAAATTCTGTTACTGCCAGCTCCCCTCTAAAGAAGAAGGAAGGGATAACAGTCTTTGCAAAATCACCTCTTCATCAACCACAAATCTCTCATTTCTGGCTCAGATGGTGGGAAATGTTTCTATAGTATTCCCAATTTCAAGTGCTTTAAACAGCTAGCTATAACTGAACTTCAAATTCATGTCTCTCACTTAATGGCATAAAGAACTCAACTGCCACTAGACAATACACCTTTTCTTCCATTTCTAATAATTTTCTTGTGCTACCTGCTCAATAACATAAAACTGGAAGCCCCCCACCCCCCGATGATCAAACCAGTCTACTGCATCCTCAAGCAACCATTTACCAAAAGATTCCCCTCTTCAGATCTTCACGCACAACTACCAAACAAAGCAGAAGCACCAAGAACATCAGGACACAACAGGTTAAAGCAGGGAAGATGAGGGCAATGTCAGTACACAGTGGCTGCTTATTCAGGGAAGTAATATAACATATCTATTCTTTACACATGATATGAAATACTTGCTGGAGAGAGTGGAGCTCCCCAGACATCTGGGGCCCTTACCAAGTCCAGTACTCAAGCGGACACCACCCAGGAAGATGTTACTTGACAACGACTCTTTGTCCCAAACGGTCAGTTCCAGGCAGATGTTGTGAATGTCCCTGGGGTTCAGGCCACTGAAAGTAAAGGTGTGATTCCAGTGGGGGTTCACACTCCTTTTTATTATTGGAGTTTTATGTTTTGTTGCTTTACTGTTATCTGGGAGCAGATATCTGAGAGATACAGAAAGAAAGAAAAGGAAACATGAAAGGAAAACTCCAGATCATACCACTAATAACTATGCACTGCAATATCACCTTTTCCCAGTCAAGCCTGGGACCTCAAAGAGCACTGGACACACACACACACACACACATAACAGTCTCTGTCCTGATGGCCTGAGGTTCTAGATAAGCACGGCAAAGGACAAAGAAAAAAGAGGTATTATATGTACGTCCCATTTTACAAGTGGGAAAGCAAAGCACAGATAGATTAAGACACTACTGAGCAAGAAGCAAGCCTGGGAACAAAAATTGCTAACTATGCTAAACATGACACTCAAGATTTAATGAAGACAAAGGTTTACAGCTCATTAGAACTTACCAGCTCCTTCTGGTAATCATCATGTGGTAATGGCCCTCTTTTTAAAAATGATCTTATTCTTGTACGTAACTAGGTAATAATAACTGTTCTTACCTGACCTATAAGTGCTCCTGATAACTTTTCTTTGCTCTACACATTTATTGGCCACTTCCCTTTTCAGATAATCTATTTCATTACTATAATGCAGTTGCTTTAACTGGTATTTCCTTTAAGCTCCTTCTGCTTCTTAGACCTGACTAAGAGCATTCTGAGCCTAAAGGCTTGTCTAACATCTCTCTCAATTATAAAGTTGCTCCAATAACCCTGTCTCAAAACCCTTGTTTTCAAATATATGGAATAAAATTCTCTTCAGTCTGAGTAAGCAACAACAGATATAAATAATAAACTAGCTAGAGACCATTTGGTCAGTTATTGGCACCATGTCATTTCTAATACATACTAATAAAAAATCAGGGAGCTCCACAGCTCTGTTGTCTCTTGTGGTCTTTAGGAGCATATGTGCTGCAAAAGGACCAGATAATCCTTTTTTGTGGCTTACCACTTAAACAAAAGCTCTTTTATACAACACTGCCCCACTAGGCTAATAACTGCTTAGTAAGACCACCTTATAGGCTTTATGCCTGAAAAATGGTTCATAGTATCAGCATACCTGGTATATATCTTTATGAGCTCCAAAATGATTGTCATCTCTAGGCAGGAATGGTTAGAGTTATAGAAAGGTAGTGAACCCCATTTAAAGGCTTCAATTTCATGGTGAAATTTTACAAAAGGGCTTACCATCAATAAAAATGTGCAAAATCTTAACCCATATGTACTAGCAGGCAACAAATGAAAACTTTTATTGACAGGAAAAATAGCAAAGAACACCTGTGTAGCAACTATCCATATTTCACTCATTTATCTTAAGTGTTACACTTACATTTCTGATTAATATAATTAGTCATGCAGAATTACATTCATTTATGCAACCATAAGTGTTCCTATATCTAATATTGTCTACATAATCTGGATTTTAAACCTCTGGAAGATAACTGAGGCGTACAAGCAAAACCCAGGCACACGATGCGCGCGCGCACACACACACACACACACACGCGCACAGTGCTACATACTTAGTATATTGTGTGTGTACTAATATACACTCAACTTTTTAAATTTGAGTATACCGCTTATCAAAACTCAAAACCACATTTAAGAGTCTAAATTGTAAAGTTATAAGTCTTTCAAAAAATTAAAAAAAAACACCTGAACCCATGTAGGTATTTAAACTGCTTTCAAGTTAATCTTTGCAGAGTAAAGTTTAATGCATGTCTATCAGAAATACAATCTCATAAAATATGAGTAAATACAAACACTGGTTTTACTCTTGAGGATGGGCAAATAAAAATTACCCTTTCACAAATGTGTCAGATGAGCCTCCTGACTTCACAGCTGTTAAATTCTTGGCTTCCTTAACCAGGACCTCCAATATACCTCCAGATGGCAAATGAGAGTCACTTTTCTTTCCTTTTTTTAAGCTCTTCTTTCCTGTAAATGAAACAAATCACCACATTAATCAAGAACTATAATGCTGCAACAATAGTTTGAAAGGTAAACCCTTTGGGTTGAATCCTGCCATTTATGTATTTCAATGGGAGTATTTATGAATAGAGTTGGACTGTGTATTTGTGAGTAAAATGTGGAGAAATGAGGAGGACAAGCCTTCACATAAAAATACTTTTGGACTAATACACTGAATGGAAAGAGTCAAGTTCCTTTTAAGTTCATTCTTCTTTTCCCGTATTACAGATGCCTTTCTGGCTAATGGTGGTAGAAGAACAGATGAAGTTAGCAGACAGTCTCAAGCCACAGGCAGAGTGTAAAACTTCTCTCTCAAAGCCTGAAATGAGACGTATATGTACAAGTTCACTTCTGAAGACATACACTGCTGCATGACAGTGACAAAGTACCAACCCTTCACTGAGGCTAGTAATAGATGTCACCAGATGCGTCTCATCGGGTGAAATACATATTACCCGTTGTCTTGTACACTGATCTTGTGGGACCATGAGTGATGTTGTTCTCTGCTTCCAGAGGCATGCCTGTGGCAATCTCTGGAGCATGTCTGTGGAAGCAGCAAAAGGCTTTCCCCACTTCTAGAGATGAGCCCTGGACATTGCCGGGGGTGCATGTCTGGAAACAGGGAACCCCAACTTTTTTCCAGTAATGCACACTGAAGACCCCAGTGATGTGCCTCTGGTAGTGGGGAAACCAGGCAGGTGCTCCAGAGGCTCAAGGAGCCTGATTCTGCATGGGAATTCTTGGGTTGGGTAAAACCTCCACTCTGACGGCACCTGCCCAGGGTGGCTGGAGAATGAGGGCACCTCCTTGCTGTCCATGCTCTCCCACTCTAAACCATATAAACATCCATTGCAATAAAGAGGCACAAATTATTATTACCTTTTGTCATGACCACAAGGTGGTCATGACAAAGTGGTCATGACAAAGGATATGCATGTTTATTTGCTTTCACTTTGTCTCTCCATAAAAAAATGTTATGGAGGCAAAAGTGTGATGAAAAGTGATGTCTGCTTCCACTTTTAGAACAGGCATAGAAAATCTGCACTCACTGATGCTATGGTTTCTAATTGCCTTCTCAGCAGGAATCACACAATCCATATCAGCGTGGGCAAATGGTATTGTTACTTGTCAAATTCTAGCTCAGTGAACATAAAAAAGTTGCTTGCGTCCAAACGCTATGAAAGCCATTAGTTCACACTGTGTAGTCACTACTTTTTAGGAAAGATTTCAATTTGCTTATGACAATACTCAGTAGGTGGGCTCCTTGCACAAAAGATGATCAGTTTCTAGTACAGTTCTTTGAAATTTGCTCCACATAAACACAATATCACTCATCTGAGAAAATGGGATAGTACACCATCAGTTCCTGGTACTGAAATAGCATTATGCTCATTGACAGAAAGTACCTCAGGTACTCAGACTTCTCAGCCTGCTTTTTTGTGTACAGGCTGGCATATACCAGGGGTTTTCAGCCTCTTTTAATAAGTGCACCCCCAGCAGCTGGATGCAGGGAGGGGGAGGACATGTGGCCAAACACAGAGCTGTGGGGGGTGACACATGGCCAAATGCGGAGTGGCAACGCGGGGTAGTGGATGGGAGCAGCAGCTGCTGCCGCATGCAAGCTCCCCGCCTCCCCCCCACCCCGTGTCCAACCAGGTGGGCGATGCCTGTGCGACCTGCAGAGGGGCGCTGCTGCCCTCACCCTGCTCCAACCCTGCTCCTGGGAGGGTGCAGCACGGGGTGCTGGTGCTCCATCCCTGCCTGCCCATGCATACCCCCCTAGGGCATTCCCAAGTACCCCCGAGGGTACGCATACCTCCAATTCACAACCCCTGGCATCAGGTCACTGTATCACTTCAGACCAAGGCTGTCCAAGTGGCAGCCTGCAGGCCACATGCAGCCCAAGAGTGGTTGAGTTGCAGCCCTGGGCTCCTGCCTGGCTGGTGCTCCCTCCATCACTCCAGCTGCTGAGTCTCTGGGCTCCCCCTCCCTCCTCCAGCTTTCACTTCCTGCCTCTGCCTCAGGGGACAGGGCAGTGTGGTACAGTGCGCTGAATGGCCTGGGGAGCTGAGGGTGAATACGGGGCTGTATGCCAGGGAGGGGGGGAATGGGGCTGTGTGTGAAGGATTTTGCCCACATGGTGCGATGAGGGGTGGGGGGCAGAGGGCGTGATACACCCTGTGCAATGGCAAGGGGGCTGCCCATGAGGACATGCATTGTGCTTATGCACCTGCACAGTGCAGCAGGGGATGCAGCATCAAGTGTAGCAGTGGAAGGTGGGTGGCTGCATGAGGACACAATGCAGCAGGGGACTGGAGAGGAGTGGACCCAGGAGGAAGGAGAACCCAGGAAATTATAGGCCTGTTAGTCTTACCTTGGTCCTGGGGAAGCTCTTTTGAGAAAATTATCCAGGTGCACATCTGCGAGGGGCAAGCAGGGAGTGTATACTTAGGGGCAGCCAACACAGGTTCATTAGAGGCAGGTCCTGTCAGACCAACCTGGTGGCCTTCTATGATCAGGTCACAAAATCCTTGGATGCAGGTGTCGCCGTGGACGTAGTCTTTCTGGACTTTAGGAAGGGCTTCAACACTGTCTCTCACCCCATTCTCATTAAAAAATTAGGAGATTGTGGTGTTGATG